ATTTTTTGTTGAACATTGCATTGCAAGTAAAAATAAAAAGTTGCAAGAAATTTCGGAGAAATTTTTATTTGAAAGTAATTCAGCACAAATCTAAATATATTGTAAAATGTTTGTCTACTCTGGAATTCAAGGAAATAAACTTGGCTCGCGTATAGTAAAAGTAAATCTAAATCCCACAAATATCTCGACTTTTCAGTGACAATTGTTATGACAAGCCTTTCTTCTCGATTTCCATATCAAGCAAAAAAAAAAAAAAAAAATCAATTCGCCGATTCATCCCTTCAAACGGTTTTTTTTCCTCTATGTACATGCCTCCAGAGACGCGGCAATTTGGTAGCGTGCCAGAATTGTTAATGTGGGACTCGGCATTGACGCAGCAGAATCCTCTCGCCCTTCTAAAAATTCCCCTTCGGTAAAATCGAATAATAACAGTTGTGGGCGTGACACATAGGTAAGCGGTCGTACGGTTTTTTTTTTGCGAATCAAATAAATTTGTAACATATTTTCGATGTAGGGATACGGTAGCTATTTGTGGAACGAGTCATTATTCATAGTGTACGGAAATAAACAGTTAAGTCCATCCAATACCTCTTTTAGTTCCATACGTTATTTATTTTTAATTACAAGAATTTACAAGAAAAAATTTTTAATACTTGATTTAACTAATAAAAACCGATTTTTTTAAATTAAATAAGGACAAACCTAAATATTTTAAATAATCTTTATCATGGTACTAACTAAAAATATTAATGTATATTGTTACAATGAAAAAACTATTAGAGGATTTACTACATGAAGAAAAGTATGCTACCAGAGCTAATACTAGTTTAAATAATTTTCAAATCACTACATCGTAATTATGTTTCAATAAATGTCTTATAATAAAAACAAATTTTTGTAAACACTAAGGCAAGGTTGATAGTGTCACTTTATAGTTATGTTAATGCTGGTATTTTTATTATTATTTATAAAAAAACAGAAATAATAAATCAGAAGAAGGAAAATTTAGTTTCTAAAACAAGTACTCAAACTAGTCGATTACGTATTTACATTTTTTTTTGGCCCTTTTGAACTCGTACTTCGGAGAATCCACGTGTGCGTGCGTTGGTAGTACAATATCGAGTGAATCCTCCGAAGAATAACGAAGCATAAACAAGCCTTTGTTGCTTTATAATCAAGTTGGTTTTTTTTTTCCAAGTTAGCCGCTGGCATGTTTCCACGTCGTATAAAAAATCTAGGCTAACACACGTGTATTCACGTAAACATCGTCCAAGTACGTTTTCATGCCTATAATACCCACGCAAAAATACATATATATTTGCCTAATGAACAAACAACAATCCCTGAAAACAATTTTTCTGCTCTTCGAAAAACAATCTCGCTCCGAAAATCCGCTACAAGCACAAAAGTTGATCCCAACAAAAAAAAATGGGGCCACCGCACCTATACAATCGTCGAGTCGACAATGGATGGCACGCGACCTTATCAACCCCGAAAATTCGTCATTTCGCTCGACTTCTTTCATCCCCCTCGGAAAACAATAATAAAACGCGCATACGAGAGAGATAAAACGAAAACAAAGGGAAGAGAGGATGAGAAGATCAGCCCGGGCTCGCTTTTAAAAATAGGTCGCAGCAGGAAAGGATGCCCCTCTCTCTCTCTCGCTCCCTTCGAAGGAGAAATAATAATAACAACGACATCGTCGCCGCTCTCTCTCTCGACCCCTATAGCACTAGTAGCCCAGATTGAAAGTCCGCGTTTTCTTTATCATCCCCCTCCCTACGATTTTTTTTTTTTTTGGCACGCGTTCAACTGTCGAGAACGGACGGTCCACATGCGCGTCTCGATGAGATGTATTGGCATGCTCGATGATGGTGGCAGCACTTGTTGCTGTCGCGTCGCGTTTTAATTTTTACGGTGCACTGGAAAAAAATTAGGTATGGCTGGACTGATTATTAACACTACACTGTGAGCCATCCAAATGCTTAGGTCGTGCAAGACGTCCCAGATTAGTGAGCAGCAGCACAAAGTGTCGATAAATTCGCTCAAGTTTGTATTAAGAGTGTACATATACACAATTTATCGAGGATATCATATTATATTTAAGCCTTGCATTTTAATGTTTTTACATGGAAGACAACTGTAGTTGTCCAAACCATGGTTTGGATACTGATAACCTGTTGTATTACGAGAAACAATGTGCACGATATATTTTAGGTTTCTTTATAATTTTTATTATAAAGGAAAATGAAATTATAAAAATAGAATTGTGTATATTCATGATTAAATCCACACTAAAATGTAAAATTTCAAAAATATTGTGTTATGAAGTATATGTACTGTTTAAATCATTGTACTTGACACAAGTTTCATACTTTCCCTTTTCCAATTCACGATTTCACGATACTTGTGGATGCAAAAAATTTTTTGTATGAAAATCAATTGAAGTTATTCGGCTGCACAACTTTTTATTTAATGCGCTCACTTTCCGATGATCGCCTCAGCAATTGCGTGAATGGTGTGTTGCGCGCGCTTTTTTTATGCAACCACGCGGTCTTCTTCTTATCTCTTTGTACTTTTTTTTTTTTTTTTTTTTCAGTCGTGGCTATCCTGCGCCGGAAGTTGGTCTAGTAGACCGCCCTCTTTATTTTTTAGGCCGAGTTTATCTTAACCGTGATTTCGGGTCGACGTGTCTGTATTCAAGTGTATCTTTTCGAACGTCTTTTATTATATTTTTCGATAAGTATACTTGCTATACATTTTTCTTTTTGCACAGATTTTTTAATAAATAGATTAGGTGGTATTTGAGTGATCAACTAAAATTTATTTGTTAACTGACTTGAAGATAATGGGAAGATAGAAATACAACCACTTTAAAATATCATGCAAACCAGTGTTTATTTTAATTTTTATAAAACAGTAGTGAACATCTCATGTATTTTTTTTAAGGTAATAGCATGAGACCTTTAGAGTTACAGTATCCTTTTAAGGTCGGTATAATAAATAAATTTCAGTGCTAGGATTTTTTTAAGGTACCCTAACAAAATATATGTACATACATATATATTTTTGATTTTCATATCGGTCAACTTGAAATAATTTAAAAAAAATCGTACGTCGCTCAAAGTCAGTGTATTTTATCCCACTTGCTCCGATAATACGAATAGTAAAATATTTTTTAATCATAATTAATAAAATCTCTTTAACAGGCAGAAGTCGTCTTTTTTTTTTTTTTTTTTTATATAAACAGTAGTAAAAAGAAGTAATAAATTCGTGAACACTAGCTCATTCCGGTCGTTGTTGTAGACCAGCCCTTATCTCCAAAATGTAACTTCAGCAAGAGAAAACAGATTTAAAAATCAACCCCTAAAATCTCAAACAACGACACGCTTGTACTCATCCACAATATTTATTTATTATTACTATAATTTTTTTTCACTCAGAACACACGTACACACGTGCCATGATTCATGAATAATCAATTCCAACGTCTACGCGCGCGCTTGAGCTCCCACACACTGCTTTCGCGCGAGCTTTGTTATGCATCGTAAACAAACGGTAAACACGAGCGGAAAGCCTTTGATCCCATCCCTCACACACGCGTTTTTCGCTTCCATCTTACTTCGCGTGTATAAATATGTACTTTGTACATATATGTATACTGGTTTCGCTTTTATATACGAAGAAAAAAAACAACCGAGCTTGTTTTCAGAGTCACAGGTGCGATAACTCGAGGATGAGGTGTACGCTCTAGTTTTCTGAAAGAAAGAATGAAATGCCTGACTTTTTTTCGTTTCTGGCAACTGAAAATTCTTAGTGCAAAACTTTTTTATTTTATTTTTTTTAATTTTTTAACAATTGCAAGACATTTTTATGAGAGTAAAAATTATTGCAGACACACATTTTATCGCACGCAACTGCAAAACAATGAGAATTGCAATATATCCGTTCAAGTTCGAACTTTTGCCCTCGAGTCATCGTATTTAAATTCCGTATGGGTATATTATATTGACGGCAAGGGAGGTGCGAGAGCGTTAATCAAACAGCTTTGAGGCATCGAGATAAAGGAAAGGTAGTATCCCCCGCGTCAGCCACAAAGCCATTTATTTGCGTGCAAGGGAACTTGCTGCTGTTATTGTACTTGCAACTGCGGCCAAGTTTATCCGAGGGATGATAATTAAGTAGGGGTTTGGTTTGTTTGAGAGCACGAGAGAGAGAGAGAGAGTTTTGTCATTCTTTCAAAGGGTATATATTGCGTTGATATTAAAGTTTGGAAGGGATCTGGCGATGATGGATTTTATTGCTACCGCCGCTTTGTTTTTTTTTTTTTTTTTTTTTTTTTTTTTTTTTTTACTCAATATTTATTGATATTTTTGTAGATACGGTATCTAATGATGCTGTTGGTAATTTTAATCGCACGTCATGTTTTTATTTAGTTTTATAATTCTCAATACCAGATTTTCAATTAATTACTTAAGTGGTGGGTTATCGGGTGTCCTCAAAAGCACAATACTCATGTTACATTTAATTTTACGTTTGAGCACACACAATTGCCCTTTGTACAGAATTCCAATTTACCAATTTTTAAGTAGGTCATTAATTATTAGAACGGTTAAAAATGGTTATTTCTGAAACCTTTGAAAATCATTTATTTAGGAAATTGAAATGCATCCAGCGTCACGTGTTAATTTAATTTTCGTCCGGGTTTGATAATTAGGATTTTCATTTTAAATTGCAATAACAATATTTCAGAAGGTATATGACCAAGTAATTGTAAGAAATAAAATTTAAGCTAAGTAATGGACACCCTAAAAAAAATCACAAGCCTTTCAAAATATTTCACCACGTGTAAAAAATCTAATTTGATGTGGACCAATCACCCAATTGGACTATGGATAATATATAAAGAAAAACTCTTGTATTAAAAATAAAAAAATTAATGTTAAAAAAAAATAGAGCAAAACTCTCGACTGAGGTGCAAAATTTGTTCATTGTTGCAGAACCGTCTAGTCAGCCAATAAAGCGCACAAGCAAAAACGTGGCGCGTGCAGCGGCAGCAGCGGCGTCGGTGACCCCAGGAACGTCCGATCGGCAGAAAAAGGTGGACAAAGCGTCCGTCTCGAGCTAGCCACTTGAAACCCATAGAAGCGACACTCGCGTGAAAAGAAGAAGAAAAAAGAAGGAAAAAAAAAGGATAAAGAAACCGAGCACAGACACACAAGATGCGCGAGTACAAGATCGTAGTGTTGGGGAGCGGCGGTGTCGGCAAGTCGGCCCTCACCGTACAGTTCGTCCAGGGTATCTTCGTCGAGAAGTACGACCCGACCATCGAGGACAGCTACCGGAAGCAGGTTGAGGTGGATGGCCAGCAGTGCATGCTAGAAATCCTCGACACAGCCGGCACGGTAATTTTTATTTTTTTATTTTTTCGTTGCTCACTTATTCTCTTGATTATTAATTAGGGTCACCAGGTAGATATACATCTCGTTTATTTAATTCTCAGCCAAAATGTTTTTGTATCCATTCAGTATTTTTTATAGGAATAAATAATTAATGTTAGAAAGAGTAGAACCCAGGTATAATTTTAAACGAGTTTTAACACAGGAATGGTGTGAAAAAAATATCGTTTGATAACACGAAACATGTTAATTTGTACATTTTGTAGAAACATAGACCCACATAATTTTTGTGTGTATTTTTAATGTACACGTACGTATTTTTATTGTAAAAAAGTATTATTTCGAGACTTAAAAAATAGATTTGTGCATTATAACAGAAAATTTTAGTTTAAAAATTACACTTTGGTAGGTATTTTTCTTTACAAAATCCACATAAATGTATTGTACTTTTAACAGATTGAAACTGTAAATATTAGATTTCAATTGAATATACTTAACACAAATTTTTGGAAAGGAATAAATGTTTGGGAGCAAACATCGTCATACAGATTTTTGGAAAATTTTAAAGTTGAAATACATCCTCATTTTTTTTGAGAGACGGAATCTCTAGGCTTGGCAGCAATGTATGCTCCCGTCGACCTCTTCTCCGCGTCTAAAAAATTAAAAACGCCGCACGACCCCGAAACGAAAGAGGTCAATCCACACGATATTTACATGAAAAAAAAAAAAAAAAAATCAAAGCCCATCTTGTTAAGGGACACAAATATAAGTAAATACTCTTGAAAAAAAAAAAATAATTTCCCCATTGGCAAATATTTACTTTTACATTTCAAGTCGCAAGCGATAAAAAGTAGAATTTTCATACGTACATAATAATACGAGACGTACCCCCAACTCGACGTTCATCCGTCATCAAAGAGAAGAGGCTTTGGGGTTACTCATACTTTTTGCATGGAGTCGAAAAGCTCTCGATGAGCTTCACTAATATTATAATAATATTCACTTGTAGAGTGTCATCCATATCTTATCTTCGAATTGAATGTACTTCTTATTTACTATTTTAAGTAGAAAAAAAAATCTTAAAATTTTTAACAAAGTGCACGTATAAAAATTATGATCTCGGGTCTGTCCAAATTATTGTTTTACAAAAATCAATACACAAAAAAAATAAACATATTGCACACTTGAGGTAGATAACATTTTGTAAGTTCAAAATAAGTTCAAAATAAGTAAATAAATTGTAAAAATTCACCCTCAAGGTAAAAATGTTATTCTTTTTTATTTGTTTCCCCTAGGAACAATTCACGGCGATGAGGGACCTGTACATGAAGAACGGCCAGGGCTTCGTGCTCGTCTACTCGATAACTGCCCAGTCGACGTTCAACGATTTGCACGACTTGAGGGAGCAGATATTACGAGTCAAGGACACGGACGACGTGCCGATGGTGCTCGTCGGCAACAAGTGCGACCTCGAGGACGAGAGGGTCGTTGGCAAGGATCAGGGCAGCAATCTCGCCCGGCAGTACAACTGCGCGTTCATGGAGACATCTGCCAAAGCCAAAATTAACGTTAACGATGTCAGTACTGCTCATTCGTTTTTTTATTCTTTTTTTTTGTTTTTTTTTGTTTTACGAATCTTATTTTTAAAAATTAACAAAAGAAAATAAACTTTACATTAAACTAATAACCGATGAAGTAATGATGCGGTGTGTTTTTTTTATGTTGGCTCCGAGATGCCACTTGTGTACTTATCATTGGTTCGATATTTATTTATTTTTTTTTTACTCTAAAAATTGTTTTCAACTTATTTGTTCGTGATCCAAAGCTTACATTGCATTTATACATTATTCATAAATTTTGATCAAAGGCATGCGTATATTTAATGCAGGTTTTCTCTTTTTTTCTTCTTCACAGATCTTTTACGACCTGGTGCGGCAAATCAACAAAAAATCGCCTGAGAAGAAACCGAAGCAGAAAAAGAGATCGCCGTGCATAGTACTGTAAGGTAGCGAAAAAAAAGGGCCTGTGCCGTGTGTTCTCGCGTTTATATATATATAAATATATAAATATATTAAAAAAA